CAGTAGAGCTATTTTGCTGGGTTGGTCATTATTGTGGTTAGTAGGCTTTACAGCTGGGTAGGTCTGTTTATTGTGGTTAATAGGCTTTACAGCTGGGTAGGTCTATTTATTGTTTTGTACCCTTGGCAGTTACATAGCACCTTCTGATACTATGAGAGCCCTCAGGGAGGAGGCTTGGAACCAAATTGAAATTTCTAAATGCAAAAATGTACTGCATCTGAAATTTAAAAGAGGAAAAAAGCAGATCTGGAGAGAGAGCTTTGTGGTTAAGACTACTGGCTGCTCTTGGTGAGGACCTGGGTTTGATTCCCAGAACCCACATGGTAGCTAACAACCTTCTGTAACTTCAGTTCCAAGGAAACCCAACACCCTCTTCTGATCTCCATGGCATTGTATGATACAAGTGTACTTACATGCAGGCAATACACTCATACACATAAAATAAAAATAATAAATAAAATTTTTTAAAAAAAGAAAGAAAATGAAAAAAGCACCCAACTCAGTGGATAACCCAACAGCAAACTTGAAAAAGCAGAGGACAGTATCACTGAAAGACAGAACCACAGAAGATACTGCATCTGAACAGCAGAAAAGAAAATAGAAGAGGGCTGGAGAGATGCTCTGCAGTTAAGAGCCCTGGCTGCTCTTGCAAAGGACCCAGGAACAGTTCCCAGCACCCACATGGCTGCTAACAGCTGTCTGTTCCTTTCAGTTCCAGTGGATCTCTCACCCTCTTCTGGCTTCCGCAGGCATTGCATGCAGAGATGCACTTACACATACAAGCAGGCACAACACTCATACACATAAAACATTTTTAATTAAAAAAGAAAATAGACTAAAAGAAAGAAAAGAAGAAGAACTGAGCCTTGGGAATCTGTAAAACTGTGACAGAAGTACAGGAGGGACAGCCCAGGTGTCTGCAGCTGTGCCAGTTTTCTCAGCCCCTCCAGCTCTGTTCTTGGGCTGCCTGTCTAGAAGCGCCCATCCACTCTATTTCCCACTGTTTGACAATGGAAACAGGTCCTCATTGAATGACACTGGAGTTGTAAGAAAGGCCTTCTTTTACAAGGGTTTTGCCAAATTTTATTGAGTTTTTTTTCTTCAGTGACGTGCTAAAATATCAGACATTCCGGTAGACACGTTGAGGTTCACCTGTACAGTCCTAACAGTGCTCAAGCCAATGCCTAAAGACGCCTTTAATTCATAGAAACATCCATCATTTAAAAGGAAATTCAAATTGGACACATTTGTCTATTTTCTAGAAAGTCATACTGACCCAAATCAGGAAATGATGAGGTCTTGAACTAGGGGAATGGATGACAGAGACATTTTAGGGAGCTTAGAGACTCTCGATTGGGGAAAGAAATCTATGCTGCTTCCAGTGTTTCTGGTTCCCATTCTGGAAAGACAGAGAAGCCATACCTGAAGTTGTCCTGAGCAGACACCTGTACAGATAACCAGGTGGGAGTGAGTGAAAGACAGTGTTTGGGTCCAGACATGTGAGGTGTGAGGTGATGCTGGCAGATCTCTAGATGGATGGAAATTTGGTTCTGTAACTCAGGAGGAAGAAAGAGACTGAAGATATGCAATCAGAAGTTTGATGAGGTCACTTGAGTGAAAAGAAATTCAAGGATGAAACATGGGAGAGTATCTGCATTCAGGTTAAGACAAGTGTTGGAAGACAAAGCTCAAAAGACAAATCCCACAGAGATGATTAAAATGTAGTAGAGTCCCAAGCTGCAGAGAGATCCTGCACCATTAGACACTTAGGGGAACACCTTTGACTCAGGAGAGCAGTGCCTGCCTGCCGCTGTCCGTGGCAGACAAGAGGCTAAGTGCACAGCAAGGGACTGTGGCTGGGAGCATGCAGACTGGCACCACTAGCCATTTACTTTTTAATATAATTTATAATAATATTTATTATTTTCTTTTCATTTTCTTGTGCCTTGGGAATTGCTTTCTAGCATTACTTTAAACATAATATGATCTTTGTGAAAAAACCAAACAGGCAGGGTCACAGGGAATAACTGAGCAGTGAAGAAGCCTTTTATCCCAGACATGGGCATGTGTAACGTCTTGTTTTAATTCAAGTCATCTTCTTTATAGTTTGTTAAGTGTGGTTTCCTTTATTGGAAACAGTGTTGGTGAGTGAGTGAAAATTCATTTTAGCTGTGAACTAGTTTTAAATTTCAAAACCAGATTGAAAAGAGAGGAAAAAAGAGAGCGAGAATGTGAGTTTGTAGAAATTATATTTTGTGTTTTTCAGTTATTGATTAAGCTCTCTTTCCTATTTCTGATTTTACTGTGAGTCAAAGAGTTTGATTTCTCAATTTCTGGGAGTACTATGCAATTGCAGAATATGAAATTTTAGAGGCTGAAACTAACCTGGTAGAAATTCAAATCCATCTTTTATCTTTTAGATGAAAGCTTTTGAAATCCTTTTAGTGTGAAGTTATCAGCAGGCTTGATTCTCATATAACCTCATTACCAACCAAAGGATTATTCAGAATGCATGGAGAGCCATGCTCTGTGGCTAAAACTTGGTTTTTATCACTTCTCCAGTCCCTTGATAAGCCCCATGTGGTTCACCTAGTTCTGCTTGAGAAATTCCATCTGCTCACCCCAACACACCCTTGGAGATCACAGATCATAGTGTGTATTGAAGGCTCTCATAAAATGCACACCAGAAAAGCCAGTCAACTTTATTTGAGCATTTCATAAATGTATTTAACTGCAGAACCTTTTTCCACATTAACATTTCATGACTCACCTAGGGGCTTTGGAAGAGAAGAAATGGAAAGAGGACTTCTGAGGAACTGCTGTTTCAAAATTAAGGCCTCTACTGCGGGGAGTGACGGGAGTGTTCTCAATATATCTTTGTTTTAAGGATTGCACTTGATGACATTTAAGAAACAGTTCTTTGCCAGCATCTTCAGAATGACAAAAATTAGCTTATTAGATGTGGGGGTTTTGCACATTTTCCTAAAAATATATTCTAATCAGTTGCTGGAACTACTTTCATTTGAAAGAATAAATTCCCCATTAATAAATTAATGAGAGAAAAATATGAAGAAAAAGTGAGTCTATTAAATTCACCAATTGTTATTTTAAGGCATATTAAAACAAGATAATTCATTACTTGAGAGACATACCCAATTTCCCAAACTGAAACCATGTAGTGATTTACTTGTTCCATCAGCAAATGATGTTATCTGTGCAGATTTACATTCTGAGCTGTAAAGCCTCTGGCAGCTGCTCCTAAGGGTCTGCAGGAAGAGGAGGCAGGAGATAAGAACATTCCTGCTTTTATTACTTTCTAGAACATTTGCTCTTGGGGTTGAAGAGGGAAAGGTATAACCAACGTGGTCATAAACATCCATTGTGCCTGATGCAAAGAAATAAAGCAGTCCTCTTTGGAAGATGTGGTAAATCTCTCAGGCCACTGGCCATGTGATAAAGCCTGCCAGTCAAAGGCTCTAAGAAAACCAGAAGAGCTGATGCCTCCCCTTCATCAAAAACACTTACCTCAACCTTAAATTAGGCCCCAGGGCTTTAGGAGAATACTGCCAGGTGTAACACTTTCCACTTTCACTCCCAGATGACCTTACTTACCCTAATCCCAAAGAGCTTTATAAAACCTGGAGCAAGCTGGAGACTGCCTCAGCCTGACTCCAAGAAACAAAATTCCTGTCAGGGTACATCCTGGGGAAGGCACCCCAGGGAGAAAATAAATCCAAACTCTTCAAGGTAACATCCACCACAGTGTCATCCTGTGAGAGGAGGCTGCTATTGGTCAGTCGGAGGTCCTTCTGGTTCCGGTGAGGTAGGAGTATTGAGAAGACCTTTCCCCTCAGTTTGAGTGATTTTCAAGATGTGTCAGTGTGCTCTACATTAGCTCATTCTTGGTAACAAAATTCTTACTTTCGCTTTCTTCTTTGAACATTATGACTTTGGTTAAAAGATGCCAAAATCATGACATGATCTAGTGGGGGGATTTTTTTATTGCCTAATAAATAATATCATAGAAGGTCATAATTCCATATTAGCTACTAAATATCCAAAATGTATAAAAGCATGCAAAGTTAGAGCCAAGATATGGGTGAAAAACAGCTCAGTGACATTTCTTAAGAATTATTCATTTTCTTTTTTAATATGAAAGTGGAGCAGACACATCTAAATCCCAGGCTCTGGAGCTGCCTGCTGCCTGCAGGCCATGAAGAATTACATTGGCAACGCCATTTTTCTTTAGTTTTAAAATTACCAATAAAGCACTTCTCTGTGGAATTTGGGGAGAAATTGCAAGCTTACAACCTCAAGATGAAGAGGGGCTTTCGTAGACTAACCTAATGGTCGTCATCTGCTATACCAGAAAGGCGTAGAAATCAGACCAGGAGAAATGAGGCTCCTCAGATTTTTAGCTCCTGTATTACTGGGTCCGTTTCTAAACATCCTAGCATCTGACTGCCCTCGTTGGCAGGTTCTTTCTTCTGCGAAGAGTCATTTTCACCAAATAAAATGGTTCCATCTCCAACTCTGATGCTCTGTGGGAATACTGGTTACACACACATGCACATCCTACCCCATCTGTTGTCATCTTACTAGTCACCTCCCCAACTTCTTCTGACTCACTTCTTTAGCTTACTCCTCCATCTTCTTGAAACTTGCTATGATTCTTACCATCTAAAGCATCCCTCTGAACCATCAATCCCTAAAAATAAAAATAAAGGCAATGGCAACATGTGGATAGGCAAAAATTGATACCATTGTGTCTTGGTTTATGGGAACTGTGATAGGCAGAGAGACCAGTATTCTGCAGAAGGCTGCCCCCTGCCGTGGTGAAGTGGATCTCTGCAGGGAGGCCTTTATAAAGAGGCCATGCCCATCCTATGTGCTATCTGACCTTTGTGGACATTAATGTGCGTGCATTCCTGCTTGCTCTTATTAGGCAGACTGGGTTAACATTTCCCATCTCAATTAGGGCTTATTTTCTCTATTGACAGAGACCAGATATTGCTATACTCAGCACACGATGGCAGTCACAGGAAACAGCATCTCCGTCACCAAACGCTGTGTCCCGCTGGAAGAGTGCTTATCCACTGGTTGTAGAGACTCAGAGCATGAAGGCCACAAGGTATGGGAAATACTAGGCAGTCAGCACCCTCCTCCCTACCAGTGCTCCCAGTGCTCATGAGCAGAGCCTCCTCCCCATTTAGGCTGCTTCTTTACTGTATTCATACAGCTGTGAAAAGATGCTTTCTTTCTGATTTGCTTCAGCAGAATACAAATGTGTAGCAGGACAAAGGACAACCAGATAAAGTGTGTAGGCACACATCAAAAGCATGTTGAAGATTGTCATGAGCCCTTTCTTCACTCAGAGGAGTCCTGAACCCACCAGAAAGGAGGGTCATGGTCCACTCATGCCCATCATTGTAGACACTCCAAAAGGTCATCCATCTGAGGAAGGGGGAACCAATTTATTTTGATAATTTTCCACAAGGTGATGGTTCATGTCATAATTTAGAGAAGTTCTCTATTGGCATGAGTCATTTGATAGGTGATGAGAGAACGTCATCTGGTGCCTGTATGCAGAACATTCCGTGGGAAATGAATTAAAGGGGCATCCAGGAAGGAGAATATAAAGAAGGCAGCCTTTCTTGTCCCTGGATCCCTGCTTTTCCTTCAGTGAGTCAGGGCTGGTTGTGTGATTAATGTGTCATGCCTTGGCTTTTATTTGACTTCTGCCCACTCTGCAGGCCACCTTCCTGGGATTCAGGGCAACTCCCTCCTTTGATATACTGGAACAGCACTCTCAGTGAGGGCTGCTTTCTCTTACAAAGAGCAGAAACACTTTTCAAGCAATTTCTCAAACGCACTAAGAATTAAATTTTACAACATAATCTGTCCATTTGTTACTGGTTTGAAGTAAAAAAAGTAAAATAAAGGTTATGACCTGACCCCGTCCCTCCAATGAGCCGGATTTGGCTCTCAGGCATTACTCTGGCATCTTTCCCAAGAAGAAAACTGAGAATCAGAAAGTGTGTCAATTGCTGCTTATACAACTAGTAAGAGACAGACAGGATTTGAACTCACTTCTGACCTCTAGTCTCTCTTCTCAGTGTTATGTTCACTCGGTGTTTCCTAGCTCATGTTGATTGTGGCCAAAGGCTCAAATCTTTGCAGGCTAGTCACTGTATAGGATAGTAACCATCCTATGAGTCTGATTCATCTGGGATCTTGTTAAAAATACAGATTCTAATTCTCTAAGTCTGGGGTATGGTTTGAGATTCTGCATTTCTAACAAGCTCCCAGCTGATATTGAGGCTGTCAGTCAATATTCTATGTAGCCATTGCCTAAACTAACTTCCATCAATAAACCTTTGGGTTTATCTCTTTCATGTGATTCAAGAGTAAAGCAATATAAAGCAAGAGTAATTGCATAAATGAAAACCCTTCTAATGTTAACCCACTCAAGAGAATAGAATAAGGATGCCCACAGTGTTGATGAAGGTAAATATTCATCTTAAATGACCTGAGTGTTGCCACTCATCTTCACTGGGAAAACCTCACAAAGGAAGTCTTACTCTCTTGACAATTTCTTCTTGTCAGGAAGAGCCTCGGAAAAGGGAAGGCAGGTTTCATGATTCCTGTTTCAGGGATACAATTGTTCTCAGAGGATTAAGAGACATGGCGGCAACCACATGGTGAAATGTCAAAAACAGAACCCAGGTACCTTGAAATTTCAGCTAGGACTTTTAGTTTTGTCTATATTGCTTCTAGATGGAATGCTAACCTCACTCTTCATAATTGTTGGGCTGTTTCTTTTGTAGAACAGACCATTCTCATTTGCCAGGAGGGAACAGTTCCCTCACCCCCCAGCCCCTGCTCCTTCTAAAGCATGCCGGCTTCTCATCACACTCTGTTCTCTTCCTTTCTTTTAGATCTGTACCTCCTGCTGTGAAGGAAATATCTGTAACTTGCCACTCCCTCGAAATGAAACTGATGCGACGTTTGCTACAACATCACCTATAAATCAGACAAACGGGCACCCTCACTGCATGTCAGTGATTGTGTCTTGCTTGTGGGTGTGGTTAGGACTCACCTTATAGCAGCTCCATGCACCATGCATTGTAGCCATCCATGGGAATCACCATGGTCATAGTCATGCATGAGCCATTGGCCTGGCAGTAGATACACAGGTGAGACTGTAGCACTCCTGGATGTCAACATGCCAGGTATCTCATTACCATGAGGAACAAGCATTGCTTCAGTGTTGCGGTCATTTCCAGTCTAACCAAGACCCTGTCAAAGTCAGCCTGTCCCCAATATGGACCCTGAGTTCTGTTCCACAAACCTGTGTTTTCACTCCAAAAAAGAGTTCTGCATTTATTGAGGGCTGTGGTTCTTGATTTGGAATCTATGCATGAGCTGTAGGAGGTCCTGGATCCTGTGAGATGTGAGGAATATGTTATATGGACGCGTCTAGATGTTTTTCAGGAAAAGGGTAAAGAATCACTGGCTTAATTACAGTCGTGAAGTCACTCATAGCTTTAGAATTTTCAAACTGCATCCTAATGAATGGAATATTGAGATTCTAACTGAATCTCTGGAAGAGCAAGCAATTTGCTCAATTTAATTTCCCTAGCTGTCTTACCTCAGTGCTGGGAAACACGTTACTCCTGCTCTTTATAGAAGATAAAAAAGGCAATCATAAATGTTGGATGTATTTGTAGGTGTGACAATAGAAAGATTTCCTCCAATTTAATGGAATTAGAATCCCTAAAGTGGCTGTTTATCCTCTCTTAAAACTGGGGAGATTGGCCTTAACTTGGGACTTAATTATGCTCCATGAAGTCCTGGATTCCTGTTATCTAAAAATTCCCCAAACAGGATGGGACTATGTTCTCTATGTGTTAGGTTCTATTCAGATATAATTAATCCAGTCAGAGAGGAATTGGGAATAAAAGGAAGGTATGTGGAGGTTAGTCCTAGTTTATTTTGGAGGCCCAGAAATGGTTCAGCAATGTTTTTATCTGTAGTACTTATCATCAAACAGTGTTCTCCTTCCAAAACCCCAGAGATGTTAGGGAGAAAGTTCTGGATTAAATTGTCTCTAGATCAATAGGGAAAGAAGACATCTTTCCTAAGATGAGAAGAAAAATGACTTGAAAGACTAATAAGAAGGTCCAATGGATAGATGTTGTTTCTTTTAGATACTGCTTTTGAAGTAGAAGATAACTCCATCATCCTTCCTATATTTTTAACACTCAGAGTTGCATTGTTTTCTTCTTCCTTGTAAATTCTTTAAACGATATTTATTTTTGTATGACACAGTATATTCCAAAAACATCTTTTTTTTTTCCTGAACAAAATGTCAAATTAGAATGCTTATTTTCAACAGTGGTAGAGCTTGTAATGTATGTTTGTGGAACACTACCTGTAGTACTTGCACCAATGTTGAAAAAGTTAATGTGTTGTGAACAAGAGTTATGTGCTTGCCTCAAGGCTTTTGCCTGTGGCTCTCTCAGAGTTGCCCTGGAAGTTATTCAGGTGGAGACCATGACTGGTCTGGACTTCTGTGCAGGGTTGTGGGGTATGTTTACATGGAACTTGGAAGAGCTATGCCCTCATAGAGGATGGTATTGTTCAGATAATCTGCCCTGCAGAGAAAACTCTCTGACTCATAACATAAGACACCCTCGCCTCAGGGACCAAATATGAACTGACAGCTGTAACTGTGATATAAAATAATTTAAATTGAATCATATAGCCTTAATTCAGAGTTTGGTAGGCTTATCCATTTATTGCTTATAATTGGGAATGGGAGAGTAGAAGGAGAGAAAGCAAGACATAGTAAGTACCTCTTATGTGCCAGGCACTATGCTAAGCACTTTACATAGCTAGATTGATCATATGATCCCTGCAAGAACCCTGTAAGGAACAGTACAAGTATTTATGTTTTACAAATGAGGGGACTGAGGCTCAAAGAGGTTTGATCATGTGAAGCCTCTTCCTTCAGATTTTGGTTTTGTGGGATGTGACATGATTGAAAAACAGGGGAAGGTAGAATTGCTCTTCTAGGAGAACCTCCAGGCCTGGCTTCATGGGAACCTCCCCATCTTCTCATATAGAACTTATCTTATCCTGCTTCTGCAGGAAGACATTTGCATGTGTCCCCAGTTGATGGTTTTTCTTTGGGGAGTAAAGTTATAGCTCTCTTATTTATCCCTCTTGTGAAAAGAGGAGACGGTTAACTTTGCATCTAAAGATGCTGTAAGACAATGGAAATTTGATGTTGTACATATCTACAAGTATCATTTTTTTGTGCATGGTCACATTTCACTGACATTTTCCAAGTAATGCATGCAATTTAAAGGAGATAAGAAACTGACCACATCAGAGCCTCCCTGGCTGGTATACAGGGATCGGGTTCTCAAGGGTGCAGATTCTCCCGGCACCTGGGAAGTAATTGCAGACACTGCACAGATGTGCTGCATGCATCCCTAATGCCTTTCAAAGTGGCTTGTTTAATTCTCTGGAAAGAATGTGATTCGCTCACCACCCCTAGCCTCAAGAAACCAAGGAAGGGCCATTCATGTGGAAGGTCCAGGGCTAGTTAGCCATCTGACTTTTCTGTCACATTAAAATTTCCATTAAACCTCACCATTGGTGATGGCTTGAAGTACAAAGAGCCATGATGTATATATTAACCTATGTGCCACATATTTATTTTTAAACTCCCTTCCACATTCATGTCAATATGGAATTAATGCCTAAATGTTGTAAATACTGTATACTTTGTAAATCAATGAATAAAGGTTTTAAGAGTATTTTCACCTGACTTCTTCTTGAAAGTGCATATGTCAATCAATGATTAATTCACCCAGGTTATGTACAAGGCATGGGCTTAGCACCACAGGGAACTTCTTTCCAGGGGCTCACTTTCCAGTTGCACACTCAAGAAATACAAACATGAAAAGATAGAAGAAAATTCACTCAGGCCAAATAATCCATACAGACAGCAAGTGCTGTAGAAACCACAGAAGGAAAGATGATCAAACTTTTCAACCAGCTCTCCAGTTTCCCTTGAACATTATTTTATTAAATCAAGAAATATACAGATATTCTTTATATGGAAAGAGGAGTGTGTGTGTGTGTGTGTGTGTGTGTGTGTGTGTGTGTATTCCCATTAACTTTATTTTGAAATAGTATTCTATTATTTGGATGAATCATGTTAATAATGATATGATAG